GAGTTAATAGAGTATCAACAATGAGGAATAATTATGAATGGATAGTTCACCCAAAAAATTACTAATTTTTATGTCATTCTAAATCTATAGCCTTGCTTTCTTCAGTAGAATACAAAATGTGAAACCTGGAAGAATTTTGCGTGAAAGTGTTCCATGTATGATTATATCCTAAATCTTTAAAATGAACTATTTCTTTAAGCTGCAGTCATTAAAGGATTTCAAAGATGTATTTGGGTGTTTACAGATGAGAGAGTCTCTAATGAAGCTACAGAAAGGTATGGGGTTGAGAGACTACGATTCAGACAGTGAAGAAAGGCGAAGTCGCTATCACTGAGTCCCGGCTCAGCCAATGTAATGAACATCTCCACATGTAAGCGACCCGATGAGCTGGGCCGGGGCACTGACTGAACGGCTCTCACGATCCGGCTGCATCGCTGTGAGGCCTTTCTGACAACAGACACTGATGGAAACCCAGTACTGCAATTTCTCTGTCTTCTCTGCGATGAAAGAGCTGAAAAAAATGAAGGAATGCAGTCCTGTGATCGTGGAATCGGTCTGTTCACCCAGGGCTAAAACAAACGCACCAAAACAATTCAACTGTCACTTCAGAACAGACACAGACTCTGGTTAAACACTTGAGCGGATGTTGGAACTCGGCAGCATCACTTTTTTAAACCTTTTGGAGTCTGGGACCAGATAAAGAAAATATGGAGTTACTATCAGCAAATGTTGCGTGGACATGTACACATTTATTTATAAAAACAAAATATGGAATTGAATGATATTATGATACACATGAAAATATATAATTTCTATGTAGAGCTATATTTGTTGCCAGAGTTCATTTGTAACAGGCTTCCATGGAGAATCAAGGCTGGTTCCTTGATAGCTTGCGCCATGGTGCATCAACTATATGCAACTGGTATATCCTCCCCTGTTTGGAGGACTGACTTCCTCCGATTGGTTGATTTGCAATGGCAAAAGAGCCATGGTCTCTAACATTCCATCTACTAAGCGTCATCGGCTGCATTCCAGTTTCCATGCTACTGCACAATAAAAGTACATACTTGGAAAAAGTACATACTTTTAGGCATATAGTTAGAACACGGTTAAGCCACAAGTATACTTTTTCCATGTTCCGATCCATCTTGCCTTTCAAAGTATACTTCAGTTTTCATGAATGGCCAAATCACTTGCACATTCACTGACAGCTGATTTTTCAGTCTTCGCCAGTTTAATGTGCAGAGTAAACTATAGGAAAATACTGTGCACATTTAACATCAAACCGAACAGGAAAACTCAATTTTTAAAAAAAGAAAGAGTTGAACCAGAGTTGACTATAGGGCCTTTCGCACCGCTTTAGTTCCAGAACTAAATGTACAGTGCTAAAGTACTGGGACGATTTTGCGCGAACTATTTCCCAGTACCATTTAAAGGGTTGCATTCGCACCGACTGTGTACTAGGAAGTGACGTAAGCCGGTCGACAGCAACGTCATTTGTGCACGGCGTTCAACAACAGAAACAAAGAAGAACAATGTTAACAACAGGAGGATGGAGGACGTTTTGTTCCTTCGAATTCCAACTGGATTTCCTCCGTTGCGTAAATGTTCAAAAGTGCCTGCACTTCAGCGTCCGTCCATCTATCGCTGTTCTCCATACTTGCGAAATAAGTTGACACAGTGTTTACAGTATATTTACACTGTGTTTTAAATCATGGCGGGTGAGGGTGTTTTTGTACACGTTTGGCCAGTCAATGTCTACTTACGTCACAGGTAGTACCAAGTTGTGCTGGTTAGACCCTGCTACGGAGTAGGAGCTAATTTGGCTCTCGAAAAAGGCAGTCCGGTACTAAAATCGCACCCAGTTCCAGCGGTGCGAAAACGCCAAAAAGTGGGTAGTTCCACAATTAGTTCTGGTACTATGAAAAGGTTCCCGCGGTGCGAAAGGCCCTTATGAAGTCAAGCAACCGTGGTGTTGTCTGTTTCTAGCTCGCATTTAGATTTTTACTTCTGGCACTTAGGCTTCAAAAGTCGTAAAAGTTTTGTTCATTGGTGAAGATATCATGATGAATAAAACGTGGAAGAATCATAAACCATTGTTGGTCACAGAGCTTACTTTTTTGCAATAAACCAAAAGCCAATGGAAAAATCCTTTTGGGTTTTTGTCGAGGGAACCAGGGTGATATGCCATCACTTCAGTGCTCTATTATGAGGAAGAGTATGGGAATTGGGTTGCAGCCATCAAATCAACCAAACCTCTCATGCAGTGGTTAACTACAGCAGGTCCACCCCAGCCAATAGCATCCATTCATTTGTGAATGAGTTATTGTTACATGAATGTGTTCCTGTTCTCCCTCAGGGTTCATTTATATCCTGCGGGCAGCTGTAAACAACTTCATATTGCCAAGCTTCGATTTTAAAGCCATTCCAAGATTATTTTTTTCCATGTTGTATGTTGTTTTTGTGTTTTGATGCTGAACCAGCTGCTGGACGGGTGAGAGATGCGCATTGGTCATGTGATGTCAGAAAGTATTTAACATTGTTTTTGTTAGTGTTGTGAAGCTGCACAGACGTTTATCCTGATAAATTGTTCTTACAGAGAGACCAGCAGTGGGTGTGTTAAGACTGGACTGTGAAAAATCCAGGTTATGCTTGAATTTACAAAGAGAAACTGTCTAGAAACTTTGGCAATATAATAAAAAATCAACCTCGTGAAAATGGTCAAATTGACTAAAACCTCTTGAGGTGTCATACGCAAAAACTTGTCTTTTCTCATACAAAACTCCAACAAACATTGATATTGAGCCATGGTGCTCATGTAGGCAACACGGGTTCGAGTCATGGGTAGCCGATTTCCTGATCCTGTTCCCCTCTTTCCTCCTCATCAAGAATAATTTTAATTCTTAATTCTAAAAGGCCAAAAATCAAATTAGAAATGTATTTACTGGAGTTGATCTATTTCTAAGCAGCAATTCCACAATCTAAAGTTCTGGTTTAAATATTTAAATATCAAGTGGTTTTTGTGGAGTCTTTCACATATTATAAAACATAGAGTCCTATAGTTTCTGATTCATGTAGATTTTTCCATGGAATCAGCTTGTTTTAAGTTCATTAATAAGTCCAGTTGACTTTGGCATTGTTTAAACTGATGTAAAGAAACAGAGCTGATGGCTGTCTCAGTCAAGAACATGTGATAGATGTGAAACTTCTTAGACGGATATGAACCAGTCCAATTTGTTCAAAGCAACTGGATCTTAGATGATAATTTTGTCCTGTGAGGTCTTGTGCATGACTTTTGGAGCCTCTGCTATCCCATGTTGGCTTTAGTGGCAGACCTCTTGTGCTATAGCAACAAGGCCAATTAGGAAATGTAAAAATAGCATCTGCAGGCCGTAGTGATCAACTTGCACTGTTTATGCTAAGGGGTCAGTTAGCTGTTAAGAATAGACACACACAAAATGCATTTTTCATGATGGTTATGTTCCTAAAAATCAATCCAGAGCAGGGACTACAGTTCATTCATGTCTGTATTCATCCTCATTGTCATTAAACCAATATGCAGTATTAAATGTGCAATGTGTGTTCAAGTAGAGTGTGTAAGTACTGCTGAAACTCCACATGAACCGTCTGTGAATGTATTTTCTAGCTGAAAGACGATCCTTTATTTGGACATAACCTGCTGGGTTTGGAAGCACGGGTGATTTAGAAGGCACTTTTGATGTCAAGCACTGAGAGGCCACAGCAATGGTGCCACATTGCTCACTGTCAGGCCCTAAAAGTATTATTTTTCCAAGTTCTGCTTACAGTATTATTTTTTACAGTAGCCTATGTGCACAGACAGGATGGTTGCTTTTCTATGGCCATGACTGTTATGGTCCGGATGGTTTGGAAATTCATATGTGGTATTTTTTTTAAGGCCATGTCAAATCCAGGAGCTATACACTGAGATAAAAATACACCGGGTTATTCTTTGTGTATTTTTTTTTTTTTTCCTGAAACATTGAAAGAAAGAAAAATGAATATGTATTGTAATTACAACATTGAGGCTTTTTTAATTATTTAAAGGTTTCTTTACAAAATGTATATACACACAAGTATACTGCAATGTATGTATATGTTGTGTACAGTCAGTGCACATCCTACATGCGCTGGCTGCACTGTGGGATCCCTGAAAAACAGAAAGAAAAAAAAACTATACAGTTTGTGTTGTCAAGAAATAGGCGGAATGAATAAAAGTATTTAAAAGAGATTTTTATTGCATGTTATTACTTGCTACATTTTCTGCATTTTTATTATTTGTTTCCTCTCAACAATATTTATACATAGAATAAAGTGGAAGACAGAAAAGATCAGAAAAATGTCAAATGGACTAAAATAACCTTTACTCTAGTTTGTCATTTTATTGCTTGAATCCTGTTAGTGTTTGTGTCCACCTTTGTGGCTATCACTGTAATTTTTTTTATGAATTGTATTACATTAACCCATGTAAACTGTGCTATTTTTGACATTTGCCCCAGTGTCGAAAGTGCCCCAGTTTACCTGAATTAACTCTACATTTAAGATGTCATAACAGTCCGAAATTGGTACTCCTTTTATTAGGGTGACCATACGTGCCATTTTCCCAGGACGTGTCCTGGCCAGGATTTCTATATTGCCTAAAATATCTAGGTTTTGGCTTTGTTTGCGTGTGCAGACCGATCGGTGTATGACATCATAGAAATCCTGGCCAGGACGCGCGTGTCCTGGGAAAATGGCACGTATGGTCACCCTACTTTTATCCCATAATGTTTAAATAAATAATTATGATTGTAATTTATCTGCAAAGAAGACTTTTGAAGACATAGAAGGTAAACTGCAGTAATTGCTCATTTACAGACATGCTCTACTTGGAGATCTCTAGGGTCCTTTCTTCTAAATGCAACCAATTAATCTCAGTTTTTCAGGGAGAATAATTCCTCACCAGAATGACCCACATAACTAAACAAAGAAAGGTTGCTACAGATGTTAAAAGATTTCTGTGTAAAACAACAGTGAGTAAATGTAAAATTGTAAATTATGACCAGAGATCTGAAGGCAAATCAAGTGGCCAAAAGGTTTACGTTCTTATTTTCTCCAAATATTTTAGCCAATAACTATTTATTAAAATTAGTGACATTCAAACAAGCCTTCTTGTCAGAACACACAGTACTTTCTATTTTCCCTCATATTTACAAAATGAGTTCTTCCCCCCTCCCCCTCTAGTTTGTATTTATGAATGTAAACTAAAAGCGATACGACGCGACAAACTAACACGCTATTGGTCAGTTGATAATGGTCGCGTCGCTCGCCTGCAGTAACGTCGTCATGTTGAAGAACACCCGCCCATGACTGCTGATCTCCTCCTCTTCCAGGAAGTGAAAAAAGGCGTCAAATAAGGAGGAACAAGGGAAACACGTCCTCCTCACATCTGTCCCTTTCCCTCATTAATCCGTTAATCACATTAATGTTCTAGATTGTCGTGGAACGCAGCTGTATGATGTCCACCAGAGCGCGAAACAGAGAGGTCTGCGCGGACTGCAGCGCGCCCGGTAAGACAAACAAAACAAACATGAAACAAACGCAAACTGCTGATGAGGTCCTGTAGGGTTTTATTTAGACAGATGTTTATACAGTTAATTTCTCTTAGATTATTCTCAAGCAAACACCGTAATAATCCTTATGTATTACATGGATATTGGTGCCTGAATAAAACAGATTGCGGTTTAATGACAATCCTGATATTCCAAATGGAAAATAGCGCTAACTGATGATGTTCAGGCCCTCGGTTTTTTTTTTTTTTTTATTATTTCTATGCGAAGCAAAACCCCATCTTAATTTTAATAAGACAAAGGAAAGACCAGACAATATGTGGAGACCAGTTTCCATCAGAATATGTAGTTGCTATTATCATAACGGTTATTGTTATTAAAAAATAATAATTAAATAAAATGCAACATAAATAACTTGGTTTCAGCCAAAACTGTCATCAAATACATTCATACATAAAATAAATATAGTGATAAACCAATATATTAGCCAATGCTCGGCCAAAAGGAAAATAAATATTTATTTATTCGTCATTTAATCACTTTATATGTAGATTTTTTTCTCCCACAACCAATACTTACACACTACACAGATTATGTTTGTTTTAGTTTTCCGAAAATCAATATGCAGAACTATCTGTTTTTTATAGCACAAGAACAATAAATCTACAGCAATGACACACATTATACTATACATTAATTATACATTTTAATTTATGGTATTATATTTATACTGCATTGATTTGCGATACAGCAGGTCTAAATGATCTACTTCCATCTTTATTTTGG